CCCACCTGCCCTTCACCCCTCCCAGCCAGGCCTGCTGCAGGCCTCCCGGTGCCCGGAAGCTGGTGCTCGGGAAACAGCCCACGGCCCATGGCCCCACGCGGGTGTGAATCATGGTTTCTCTTCTGGTGCTTCTGTGAGTGAGATTGGACTTGTTCGGCCATGGAGCCTGCGTTCTGATCGAGAAAAGGCCGCCCACAAGGCAGAGCAGGACAAGTGCTAACCGAGCCCATTTTTCAGATGCAGTAACTGAGGCCAGAGCGGTTAGGTGAATTCCCCAGCACGCGGCTCACCGACAGTGCCGTTAGGACTGGACCCCGGGCCTCCTGGTCTCCGGGCCCCCCTTTCTCAGCACGGCCTCTCTCCTCGGGGGCGGTGCTGCCCCGGCCTCTGGGGGCCTGGGAGGCGCGCAGACCCCGCTGTGTCCTGGGCCCGCAGCCCACGCTCTGGGAGCCTCAGCTCCCGTCTGTAAAAGGGGCAGAGGGCCTGTCTGCAGGGTCAGCGTTTGTAAAGCCCCGGGGCTGTTGGAATCTCCCCGCTCTAGTTTCTTTCTTTCATTACCCAACCCAAGCCTCTGCTCTCCAGCACCAGCACCTGCTACAAAGCTCTTTCTAGAACAAACGAATGAATGAACGGCAGGCACGTGAGCAGACAGACACTGTCTCCCCCTGCTCTCCGATGCTGAGCTTCCAGGCACCTGGGAGACCCCGGCAGGCAGCTGGGACCACAGCGGGGACGCTGCACGAGGGGCTGGGCCTGAGGGAGCCCAGGAGGAGGTGCGTCTAATCCATCTTCTGGGAGAGTCAGGAAGGCTTCCTGGAGGCGGTCACATCAGACTGAGACTCGAAGGGTGAGTAGGAGTTTGCCAGTTTGGCAGTGAGATGGGTTTTCAGGGCCGAGGGCACAGGCGTCTGGGTTGCATTATTGCAATAACCGTGTTACTCGGGGAGAGAAGGGCCTAGAAGTTGGGGAACCTGGGCGTCGGTCCTGACAGCCCCTCACCCCCCCGACTCGGTGCCCAGGCTGGCGTGTCTCTCCCAGGCCTCAGTTTATCTATGAAGTAAAGGGGCTACACCTGTTGGCTCCCGAGAAGGTGGGGAGACCAGGCGAGAGGCAGATAATGGCCACCCCTCCCCTCGGCGTCGGACCCGGCCTCCAGGAGGAGGGCGGGGTGATGGCCCGCTGACGGAGAGGCGCCATTCTGCTCAGAAACACACAAGCTTTGAGGACCACGTGTGTACAACAGTCTTGGTCCCATTAAAAAAAACACACGAGTGAGTGGAGACCCAGCAGCCGGGATTCAAACACCTTCTGAGGAGCATTTAAACCAAACAAGCCCCTGGCGCTTTGAAGTGAGAACCTGCCTTCCTCTGAGCCTCACTCACCTCATTTCATTTGCAAAACAGGGGAGGGTGATGCCCTCCAGGGGGGAGGGTGCTGGCCTCCAGGGGGGAGGGTGCTGCCCTCCTGGGGGGAGGGTGCTGCCCCTCCTGGGGGAGGGCGGTGGTCTCCCCCAGGTCAG